CTCATGATGGAAGTTTATTCAACGGCATCAAAGATAATTCTTACGTCGCGACAACAGTAAGTAGCTTGATCGCCTCAGCACATAACCGTAAACTTCCATTTGGGCTTCTACTAGGTGCCAAGGGCCTTTGTTAATGTCACAGGCTACTTTAGTCTTAATACTCACAGTTCTTAAACCTGGTAACCTCTCTACCCTTAAAGCTTGTCTGATCTCATCCTTCATTTCTGGAAACCTTCTCTGCTCTGATTGGCAGAGTTGTTTTTTTTTTGGCACAAACGGGAAACCTGTAATTTGCCTGTAAATTTAACACGCTGCTCCCCGCCCAGGTCGTTTATGGCAGATGGACGCAGCTAGTCTGCAAGCAAGCTCTCCTATTTGGGCGAGTGAAACGAGTCTCGCGAGAACGCGCGAGCGAGCGACGCAGCCTCAGTGATAACGTGATTAGCGCATGCGCAAGGTATCTTCAATTCTGTACACTTACTATTTAACTCGTCACCTGTTCTTGAACTTTTCATACGACTTTCTCACATCCTTATCAGGTAACAAAGCTGTCCACCAACCCATTCCACGAATCGGATAACTCCAGTAGGATAAAGACCACTCCATTTTCCATGGTTCTTAAGGGGGCGGATGGGAATGTCATCCCCGTCAAAGGACTCAAGTCGCCAGTCAATATATTTCTGCCTGTAAAAGAACCAACTCAGGTAAGGTAATTAGAAAAAAAATTTATTCACTGTTCAAAAACTGTATAAAAATTATTATTTTTTACATAAAAATAAACTTTTAAACTTGAAATTCGGAGGGCTTTGTTCTTCTGGCTAAGTTGACATTGTTGTTGCATCTGTAAATTGATAGCCGAAAGATCTTCTTAGTTTTTGTCATGATTCGTACTCTTAAAACTCTTACAGTGTTTTTTCATCTCTCATGTTCAGGAAAGCGTTTAAGCAAACCAGTCAACTAGATTTTTAAAATTCATTCAGAATCTTGAAGGATGTTTTAGGCATCCGAAATTTTACCAATCAGATTCAGAAGAAATGAAATTTGGGAAAACGTAACATAATCTTGACGGGATACGGATTTGACCGCTACTCTGGAAAGGGGATTTGCCAAAATCTTTGCACGTGATGCCGTATTGGGAGAAAAACGGTATTGGGATAGAGATGACAGTAGTTCGGGATACGGAAGGGAGCCCCGGAATACGGAATCAGGACCCTACCCCCACCCTCTTCCAGTCCCCTCTCATTCTTTCCTGTTTCTGATTTCTCGTAACAGATTACACTAAACATCTCTCAAACGCCCTCAGCCAGTGGCTCCATGTCTTTGCACAAAGTCACCGCCCCAAACAATGACAGTACCATAAGGGCCGAAATCCTGCCATCCGACGGAAGTTCGGAGCTTACAATTTACTTCCGCTTCAATGAACCCCCTTCCTTAACAGAATACGACTTAAAAACAACTCTCCCGCACCAGGACCACGCGGTCGGAAATTACACGCTGTTTGTATCACGTGATCAAATGCAAGGTAGCGGCGACTACTACCTAGGAATTTTACCGACTGCCCATGAAAATGAACCAAGGGAAACGGCAGTAAATTACACTTTTGATGTCATCTCTTCAGCGTGTTACTTTTGGGACGAGTCTTCCAAGGAGTGGAGCAGCAAAGGATGTAAGGTAAACTGCTGTTAATGGTAAATCTTCGGTCAACGATTTAGAGTAGGGAGGCAGAGAGGGAAGCAGCTGATTCATGATTCCACTCTATCAACATTGATGGCGATGTTGGCTTGGGTGTTTAAACGGACCCTACACCCTACACACATGTTGCTGGAATGAAAAGTTAAGCTGCATAGAATTCTGATTCTGATTCTTATCACCGGCATAAGAACAATAGAAATGTAGGTTGAATCATGCAAACATTGAACCAACAACACCCAAGATGAAGACATCTCTTCGCCTAACCACACTTAGCCTGTGTCAGGGTCTCGATAGTAGTTGAAATTGAAGGCAAGGCTGATCGGACAGCTAAGGGTTACAAATTTATTTGCCCAATATTTCGACTAGACAAAACTAGTCTTCATCAGGTAGCTTTTCTAGCCCCTGATAAAGACTATTTTTGTCTAGTCGAAATATTGGGCAAATAAATTTGTAACCCTTAGCTGTCCGATCATCCTTGCCTTCAATTTTTAGTGTTATTCTGTATTGCTGATCCTGATCTACGACAAGACCCGGCTTTCCCTCGCTGCTGTTTGTCCAAGTGGTCCTTAAAAGAATTGTTCTCGATAGTAGGGACGTCACGAAAGCAAGGTCAAGATTTGAAAAAGGGGACGAGATCTCTCTGCCCAGCCCCCGCCCGTTTTTCGAATATATCAGTATCTCTGCTCATTACTATCTTGAATCACGGAACAAGCTAAACCACACATACGATGTTGACAACTCTGTATTACTCTTCTCTAATTTGTAAGTGTTTACTCTCGACGTGTTACCTATCTTGTCTAAGGTTATGTGTACACAATATCGGATAGCTTTTTTTGCCACCACGAAAAGCTACAAGGTATGGTACGAACAGCAACGGCCCGGGCTGGAGCAAGACGTTTTCACACATCGAACATCACTAAATTCCAGTTCTCATTCCTGAATATTTACTTCCGCCTCAGTGGGCTCCAGTCCTCGCTCCTACTTGTTCACTTCCGCTACTCTCCGAATACCTGATCACACTGCATCAAAGTGTGGCACAGAACCTATCCGCTATGTGTCGCTCAAGTTTCGAGATCTTCGCATCGTGTGAACAGAAGGTCAATCCGGTATAGTTTTGATGCCAGCGCAAGAGCTATCTGTTATAGTATCAACATACCCTACGTCTAACCACCTTCTTACCATAATTTTACAGGTTCATAACCAAACTAGCCGCCATCTTACTCGCTGCCAATGTTCACACTTGACATGGTTCGGTGCAGATTTGTTCATCCCACCAAATAAACTTGACATCAAAGCTTCAATCAAAAAGTTAGCTGAGCTTCACAAGCACCCCGCGCTGCTCGCTACCTTCTGTACTATTATTGGATTGTACATTCTTGGGATGATCTGGGCAAGACGTAAGGACAGAAAAGACATCACCAAGGTTTGAGTGAAATAGTTTTTTTGTTTACAATTAAGTGAACCTAGCCAGCAGTGCAGGCGTTTTCATAGGGCGCGTCAAGCACCTACCCTAAGGGTTGCTACTTCTTCTCTCCCCAATCTTTCTCTGTCATAAAATAAAAGATGAACAAGTCTGCCCAAAATACGCCTTCACTGCAAGCTTAAGTGAACCTCAAACCAAATCAGACGTTTTGGCCAACAAAACTACGCGCAGATCATCATTGAAGCCAGTACACGTTGCTGGTCAACCTTGTTCCCAGGGCCGACTTTTCTTGACTGGGAGAAGAAAAACCCCTGGGAACGAGACTGATGACGGCACTAAGCGCGGGAAAAAGAGCGTAGGGCAAATCGCAACTTCTTTTTTATTGATAGAAAAGGTGACACGATTTATTTAGCCCATCACAACTCTGAACGTTAAAAACCTAAAAACTAAAAAACCTAAGAAATAAAGGAAAACGATATAATAAAATAAATATAAACGATTTAGAGGTAGCACATCCACATACTTTTTCTTTGTCTACCTTACTCCTGGGCTAATTTGAATTTGGAAATGCTGGTTTACGAGGAGATGGGAAAACCCGGAGAAAAACCTTTCGGAGTAAAGGAGAGAACCAACGACAAACTCAATCCACATATAGCGTCGACGCCGGGATTTAAACCCGGGCCAAATTGGTGGGAGGCGAGCGCTCTCACCANAAACCTAAGAAATAAAGGAAAACGATATAATAAAATAAATATAAACGATTTAGAGGTAGCACATCCACATACTTTTTCTTTGTCTACCTTACTCCTGGGCTAATTTGAATTTGGAAATGCTGGTTTACGAGGAGATGGGAAAACCCGGAGAAAAACCTTTCGGAGTAAAGGAGAGAACCAACGACAAACTCAATCCACATATAGCGTCGACGCCGGGATTTAAACCCGGGCCAAATTGGTGGGAGGCGAGCGCTCTCACCACTGGGCCACCCTTGCGCCAATACTTGCGCCAACCCTGCACCACCCATGCGCCATCCTTGTGCCACCCTTGCACCACTCTCTTACACCTCGGCTACTCTTTTCTTTTCTAGGTAGGCCTGGTGCCTGTTCTAGATAATGACCCAGCAGACAGATATCGCTATGAAGTCACAGTCCATACAGCGCGTGGGAAAAATGCAGGAACAAGCGCTAATGTCTCTATTCTAATCGCTGGTGAGGAAGGTCAGAGCGCGGTGCACATGTTAAAGAGCACGTCAAGAACATGTCTACAGCCAGGCAGTGTTGACTCATTCCTTATAACGACATCAGACTGCCTGGGCAGTCTGACATATATCCGTATGTGGCATGATAATACTGGTAAAAGTCCGTCATGGTTTGTCTCCCAGCTGGTCATCCGGGATATTGAAACAGACGAAAAGTTCTTCTTTCTGTGCAATAGTTGGCTGGCCTGCGATGAGGGTGATGGACAGGTTGATCGACTCTTTCCAGTGGCGGGAAAAGAAGAGCTGCGCGACTTTGTCCATCTGTTCAAGACCAAGACATCACGTGACTTTTCTGACGGGCACTTGTGGTTTTCGATAGCTTTTCGGCCAGTGCGCAGTCGCTTTACGTGTATGCAACGAGTGTCCTGTTGTTTGTCTCTTCTGATGTGCTCAATGCTAGCTAACGTACTCTGGTATCGAACGCCGGTGCAGGATCAAAACAACGTTCTTATAGATCTCGGGTTCTTTGAGTTCACCTGGCACGAGATTCTGATTGGAATTCAATCGAGTTTGGTCGTCTTTCCAATCAACCTGTTGATAGTTCAGTTATTCAGAAATAGAGGGGTGAGCCCAAAGGCGAAACAAAAGTACGCAGAGAGGACAACAGCAAGAGGCGATTCCAATGTCAGAACAAAACAACGCTCGATAACTCGAAAACAAACTGCTGTATCGCTCAGCGATATTACACCGACAGCTTCGCGAAACGAAATGTCGGCCTCTTTCAAGCAAAAAAACGTGACTTTAAAAAACTTAACACGCATGCGTACACCTGTGCCCGCGCGCAAAGACTCGACGGACGACGATTTCTTCTGTTCTTTGATTGAGAGTAAAATTGGAGTTCCATCGGAGGAAAAAGAAATCAAACCAAAAAAGCAGAAAACCCTACATAACCCTGACTCATTGGAGGAGGAGCCCGACTTTTTATCTTCGGATATTTACTACTATTTGTATCAAGACGAGTCACAGGATGGGGATAAAGGTGCTGTCATGTAGTTGATTTAATACTTGTTTCCATGGCTTGTAAGTAGAGACCTTTAGATTCGAGGAAGAGAACGACTTCAGGAACGAGATTTGACTTAAAGTTTTTTTTTGCGTGTTCTCAAAAAATAGACACCCCGGAAAGCTTCATTTTCCTTTTTTTTTACTAGAAAAGTTAGTACTGTTATGTTTATTGAAGGAAGTAAGGCCCTCTCCCGATCACAAAATGATAAAACTTCTACCATTTGTTAACTCGTTTCAACCACTACGACATTTTTGCTAAAACTTGTTGTAGAGTGACGAAGACTATCACGTCGTCTCGCAAAAATGACGCGGGTTGACCCGCGCGCACTACTTAGTTTTGAGAAAATCTCGTACTCGAAGTCTTACTCGTCTTAGAATCTCAATTGCGATTTTAAGGCATGGCATTTATCTAGGCAAGGGACCGCAAGCTCAAGCGGTAGGTAATAAGCGTATTTGTTTCCCAACCAATCAACATCTGTCGCTTTCCGTGTTTTCATTCCTTGGCTATCACTGAATTTTCGAAGCATTTCAGCAAATGAGTGCGCCAACCACACAGAGTCGTCGGTCGCGCAAAACATTGTACCGCCTTACTTATCTCACTAGAAATGCTTCAATAAAAAGATTTCCTGAGTCAGTATATCAAATGTGGTATGTGACCGGTCGTTGAGAAAGTTTTTATTCTAAGGGAAATTGAACCTTTTTTAAGGTCTGCATTAATCTTGTATTATTTAATCTTTACCAGCTCTCCCTGAATCGACTTACAACCGCGATTCAGTAGGATCAACTTCCCCTTTAGTTCCTCCTGAAAACACCAAGGAAAAGAAAAGAAGAAAGAAAACGAAATGTTTATTTCCATGGTGGTTTGTGTACTTCGGGTGGTTTTTCTGCATTTCAACAGCAGCTGCGGCCGGATTCTTCACGTTGTTGTACGGACTTCAATTTGAGAACAAGCAACAAGAAGAATGGCTGGTGTCCATGTTTGTATCGATGTTCCAAGACGTCTTGGTAAGCCAGCCGCTAAAGGTTGTCATCGTCGCTATTTTCTTTGCTCTTCTCTTCAAGAAACCCCAAGATGAGGACGATGACGTCATCAACGCTGAGCTGGCGAGAGACGAGGAATGGCTCGAGAAAAATCTTAGTCATGCGCGTAAGGCAGATGGAAAGAGTGCTGTCACACAATCTCTTCGTCCTCCTGATAAGGTAATGTGGTCAGAATGACACTCTTCTACGATTGCTTGTCATGTGATATTGCAGCCTCGTCTCCAGAGCTTTTCTCTTAGAAGATGAGAGTGAAATTTTAAGGGAAAAGATTTGGAGACGAGGTAAGTGATATTGTAGCCTTTAACTACTCCTTTACGAAATAGCCATAAATTAACTCGCAAGTTTCAGCGAATATTGGCATTTCAAAAACGATAACAAAAACGCCAGGAATGGAGATCTAACAATTTGTTACCCAGGTCTCCCACGGTCAAAAGGATTCATGCCAAACAAGCATGAGTAAGGTTAGGTATCATGTTCAAACCAAGTACCAATGGGGTATCAAAAAAGCCCGTTTTAATCTTTAAATTTCACCTTCACGAATATTCTGTGGCAAATAAACGTTTTCCTTTCCTTTTCCTTGTAACCCAGACACTCCTACAAGCTGCTCGAGCGCGCCTTTTCAAAGAAAGGAAGATGCACTCGGTTATCCGGGAAATCGTGCTCTACCTCATGTTTGTGTGGATAGTTCTGCTAGTAGCGTACGGTCATAGAGACCCGTATGCACACTTCATGACGCAAAACATGGAGAACTCGTTCGCTGGGCACCAAGAGTCACCTGGCGCCCGCGAAGATGACAAACAAGAAACAACCAAACAGAAAGCTGTCGGAGGCGATACCGTTAAACTTTCTGACGTAAGTACACGACAATGCCGAGTGTACCTTTCCCGGATAAATTTAGGTTTCTGGGAAACTGCCCACCTACCCCTCTCCTAAGCCAACATTTTGCCTTAAGTGAGAAGTAAGTGATAATGTTGACTTAGGGGAGGGGTAGGTTGGCAATAGACCATTTCCGGGTTGTCTCAAGCCTCTGTTTTAAAGAAGAGCTAGGTGTGAAGCTATTGATTTGAAAATGATTTTTTATTCTCATGCTAAACAACTCATTTTCAAAAGAAAGGTTTTGCAATTAGCCTCATTTTGAAAACGAGAACTTTTGAAACTCGAAAATGGCAATTTGGAGATGGCGTGAGAATGGGTTGGTGTTGCGTCGCATTGCACTGTGGGACTGTTTCGGCGAAAGAATGTTGACCCAGTACCTGCGCAACTTTATAGTAGCTAATTCGTCACTTTCAAGTTTCCCATAATACACCTTGTTTACCCTCCACAATTTGCTCAAGAATTGTTTTCCATTTCTTCTGGGTATTACAGTCGTCCCAAGAGAAAGAGAAAACAATGCTTACAATATAATGTTACTCCAAAACTTTCTCTAGAGGTTTTGCTCATAATAACGTGTACACACATTAATCATTTACGTGTGCACACGTAATGATAAACGTTACTGCATTCTTAAGAAATATTTCGTTTAACAAAAGAGGGACCACTCACATTTGGCCGGTCTTCCTGTCCATCAACATCACCGCTTCTAGAAGGCAAAGAAAGAAAGACTGCGATTGAATTAGCCAGTAGAGGCAAGAACTAAAGGTTGATAACATCAACTAACAAAGTAACAATACACGGCTCACTTTGATTCTAATAATGATGACTTCCCGAAACATCAATCAAAGAGAACGAGAATGTTATTCATTCTCAATACTACACTCACCCAGCCTCCTTCTCAGGCGCTTCGTTTTTCGCATGGTTTCGCATAGAGGCGAGCGCGAAACGCGAGTGACTGGTGAAGAAGCGCAAAGGACCACGGGAAGGGTAAAGATGGGAGGCGAAGCCGTTTTCTCCTTCCCGCCTTTCTTTGCGTGAAAATTTTCATCAAGAGAGAGACGTCTGGGAACGAGAGGGAGACACTTAGCCGTATGATCATATTCAACTTACGCACGAAATTTACACTACTTATCAATTTTTACCTTGATACCATCCTGAATATCCCTAAGGTCACCAATGTCAATGATTTCTGGGAATGGATGAATCAGACGCTAGTTCCAGGCCTTTATAGTGGTGTGTGGTACAACGGAAAACGCGGGCAGCGTGGGTTCCTGGACGATAAGATGTCTTATGTAGTGGGTGTGGCTCGAATCAGGCAGCTTCGAGTTAAAAGTGGTAAGTTCTCAAATGTGAAAGCAAACCAAGTGAACAAACTCCAGTTGGTACCGTTCATTTACTCTTAGTGGCCTTCTGACACCATATCGACCTTTGTGGAAAGACCTCTGCAAAAATCCGACCTTTGGCTACCGCGTGAGAAATTACAGTGTTTGTATGAGAATCTTATGTCTAATGATTTCCGTAAAACGGTTGTTCTGAAGAAAGTATGAATTGTAAACTTAAGCTACAAAGCAAAGGATTCTACTTGCAAATTTTGGAGGCTGTACCCGTGTTTAAATTTCTCCAGTCGCTTGCTTTAGATTTTCCATATATTTGTCTGCAATTTTTCCCGGGAAATTTAGTCGGCAGCAAGAAAAAGTTTTACAGACAAATGTATAGAACATTGTAAAAAGTGGTTCTAGCCCAGGTAACGCCCTCAAATTTTTTCAGTAGAATCCTTAGGAGTGAAGCTTTAGTTTACAATTCTTATATTTTTCAAAACAGAACAGAAATTATTCGACATTAGATTCTCATACAAACACTGTTATTCACTGACGCGGTTGCCTACCTATCAAGACGGATAAGGTCTATTTCCTTAACTTTGCATCACTTAGACTGAAACTCTGGAAAACTACTAGCTAAAAGTCGAATTTAAGTAACTCGAACTTTCGTTTAAGATAGCGGTTCAAGGACTGGTGGGTTTAGTCAGCTTTTACAATGTAATTACATGGTATTTGTAATGATTGCTTCAGCTCGACGCGGCAGCGGCAACAATTTTGAAATGAAGTCCTGCCACTGCCGCGCCAAATTCAAATGAAATTCTGCGCAACGGCAGTTTCCTACGAAGTTTGAGGCAGTTTGTAGTGATTCTTATGCTATCAATCCAAAGATGGGGTCCCAATAAAAGAAAAGGCGCGAATGTTCCTCGCGTTTTAATCAGTAATCATCAACTTTTTTTTAACGAACTAGGGGGGTTTTAAAGTTAGTGCCTATCTTCTTTATTACACTGTGGTATTTCAGGCACATGTGAAGTTGACCGAGTCTTTGACTCGCACGTGGGAGCCTGCAACGAGCCTTATTCCTGGGATGCAGAAGATCAGACTCCCTATTATGAACCCGGATGGAGACCAGCCAATCAGAATGCGTCTTACAACCAAGACTGCAGCGCATGGCACTACAAGACAACCGCTGAGCTAAAAACACGACCTTTCCTGGGGCACCTTGCACTCTACCGCGGAGGTGGTTACAAAGTGGACTTCAGCTCTACCATGGAAAGTGCGTCCTCTGTGTTAGACGATTTAAAAATGAATAACTGGGTGGACAAATACACACGCGCAGTATTCATCGAGTTCACGGTATACAACGGTTACAGCAACCTATACTGCGTTGTTAACCTGCTAGTCGAATTCACTGCCGCTGGAGGGGTTGTACCATTCATTCAGTTGCTGTCAACCCGAATTGATCGCTACGTGGGACACTTTTTGATATTTGTGCTGGTCTGTGAAGTTTCCTTCGCTCTCTTCACTTTATTCTTCACTTACCGCGAGTTCAAGCGGTTTCTTAACACAGAGCTGAAGGATTACATGACGGAGTTCTGGACTTGGATTGAGCTAACATTGTTGGGGTTATCATGGACTGCCATTGTTCTCTATGCAATCAGATTCGGTCTTGATCAATTCACGAAAAACACCTTTCGCAAAAATCCTCAAGAATTCGTAGACTTCCAATACCTGGCGCTTGTCGATCAGCTTTTCGGTTATGTTTACGCATTCGTGGTGTTTATGACTTCTGTCAAGTTTCTTCGCTTGTTCAGATTCAACCGCCGCATGTCGCTACTCGGATGTACGATCAAAACGGCTGGTCGGGAGCTCGTGCACTTCGGAATTATCTTCGGGCTAGTATTCGTCGGCTTCTCCCATCTCTGCTATCTGGTATTTTCACACGAGTTGTACAAATTCCACACTTTCGTGACGACTGTTGAGACCCTCATCAGCGTAATGCTGGGGAAATTTAGTTACGTCAGCTTGGAGCGGACAAATAGAGTTCTTGGGCCGCTCATGTTTTTCTTTTACAGTATAGGAGTGGTTTTCATCCTTGTAAACATGTTCTTGTCCATCATTATCGAGAACTTCTCCAAAGTGAAACGGAACAATGACCTCCAATCGAATGAACACGAGATTATTGACTTTATTGCCGATCAGTTTACAAGTTGGCTTGGTTTAAGGTCGCGTTCCATTTTCAAAAAAAATCGAGTCCACGTCGAGGAACAGCGGCCGAGGCCAAAATACAAGAAACGCAAACGAAAAAACGAAGCGCAGCAGCTCAAAGAGAGAGTTGACAGGTTGGTTACGCTTATAAAGAACGTTCACTTTGATGTAGCAGAGGATGATGATTTTCTTAGGAACGATGGTGAAGTTACTTATTTACTTCCGAATATCACACTGGAATCTTACGCTTGAGTTAAATAGTGCTCGTATACAATGAAACAATATTGGTACCTGTATTAGTAGCAATGTAGTGAGCCATATTCGCTGAGACGCCGCTCACATACTGGCGCCACACTGGCCGAACTTCTCATGGGACAAGTTCTCATGCAATATTATAACCGAGAGTTTTCGCCTTGTCATCACCGGGAGTTTCGAAAGCGTCCAAGCAACTTCCGACGATTTACCACGATTTTCCGAAGACTTCCAAGCACTGTCGAAATGACCGAAGAGTTCTGTTCCGACGACCATTGAGCATCTCCGACGGCTATTTAAAAGGCGACAATTTTTAGCATGTTGTGATACAGTTAGGACACAAAGTCAACAGTAAACGCCTTTTTGGAATATTTTTGGGAAATTGAATTGAATAGTATCAATTAACATAAAAGTGGTAATACACCAGGATACACCGTTTAGTAACACATAGAAACAATTTTATCAGGCGTTGTAATTTGTTTTTCGACCCAAGGAAACCCAATTAAAAAACCCTTCTTTGTGGCCACATTGCCTGATGCCTGTGTTGATTTCTGTAACATAAAGATGGCAAAAACAGATCAAAAGTAGTGGACTTACCTGAGTTTCCCAAGATCTTCTCCTTCTCTTTATCAGTTTATAGAACTTTCTATCCTCCTTTTGACAAAAATGTCGGCGGGAGGAGAAGAGTTTCTCTACTAGTCAGGACATTTACCAGGGAGAAATAAAAATAGAAATAAAAAGGAAGCAAAAAATGTAACGGTCGGAGAATAAGGGCGTGTCTTTCCTTGACACGGAGACAAGTTACTTTCTAACTTTCTCTCTCTTCTTGCCTAGTCCCTAGGCCTCATTATCCCCCGCGGCCAAAGGGTTTCGGACCACGTGGTCCGAGGGAAGAAGTTAAGAGGTTTCCCGCCTGTTCGTCTCGGATACGTCACCGAAGTGAATCGACCGAGAAGGCCTGGGAAAACGCCGTATAGGGACTTATGCAAATCGCTGACACAGAAACTTAAATCAACAAATAAATAATTTAATCAATCTTCATTTGCACTGGCTATAATTATTTAAATATAGTTTGACAATGGTATTCAAAACTAGTTGCATAAAAAAAAATCATATTTTCAAATTGGAAAATATTTACAACTACAGATAACTTTTCAATTTGCAAAGTGACATTTAGAATTAGCATAATACATCTTCCTAAAATACTATAGCACCATAAGGCTATAGGTACTGATAATGTTCACAGAGTTTTCAGAATTACAAAATGGTCATCGTCCTCTTCAACTCAAAGGTGACTTTATATTTACAAGTCTTTTTTTGCGTGCGAATGCTTCGGAAAACTCGAGTTCAGGAATGACTTTTCACTATATATTCTTCCCTTTACTGGGAGTGTAAATAATTACAAATCGGAGGGAAAATTCTTACGATACATTTCAGAATGTAATGAAACTAACGCTATAAAGCTAGAACCATTCGATGAACTCAGTTACTGAAGTTTACCGTCGATTGGAAACCAGCCAATCAGAATACCATGTCATAAAAACACCAGACTGTTGCGCATGACGCTACAGGACACCAGCTGAATCGCTGGTTCCTTCCTTTTCTTTTCTCCATCAATCACAAAAATGCAAATACTATTTGGCTTATGAAAAGAAAGTTACGTATTAAATTGACTAAAGAGGTGGGGCGCGTTTGAAGCTGGGAGGGGTTTGTTCTTGTTGGGTTTGTTGTTTTTTTTTACGATTTCTGCGTCGAGTACTGTGCACAACGTTCCTAAACTGACTTAGTCTTGGGAAACTTGGCGCACTAATTTTTATGTTCTTAATGACGAAGCTTAAAAGGAATTTTTAAGGTATTCCTTTTCCCCACTCAATTAAGAATTTTTCATAACCTATGGGGGCGGCTATCCCTATAAACCCCAATATCCACATACAAATTCTCCATACTGATCTCCATACTTTTCCTTAGTGAGTGAGTTAAGAGAATTTGATAAAAGATCAAAGCATTTTCCCTTAGGTGATCATTTTATTAATTCTCAAAACCTAATCTCTTGACAGTCTATGGATATCGTTAGGAGAAAATTGATGTTGGTCAATATTGGGACTTAAAGCGCTAATTGCTGAGAATCAACACTACTCAGGAAGGAAATGCGGATCAATCTAGGTTTCTGGGCAACTGCTTACCTACCCCTCCCCTGAGCCAACATTTTGCCCTAGGTGAGAAATAAGTGATAATGCTGGCTTAGGGGAGGGTTAGGGGGCAGTTTCCCAGAACCCTAAATTGATCCGGAAATGCTTCGGCGAGTTACCGTACGAAAACCTTCTCGCCTCGCTGCCGATGGAATTGTTCCGCCAAGCTTTCAAACCGTTTCGCTCCTTGTACAGCAAGAGCTGCGGCTTTGAACTTTCTACGCGACGTGAGAAATTGACTGCCGAGTTCACGGGAAACACCAGTGTGTTTAACCCAAGGGTGACCCAAGACTTCTTCCGCAGTGTATCGTTTACTTGGGCTCACTACCAGCAGTTTCGAGATGAGGTCTTTGGCCTCGTTTGAAATGTTATCCCAATAAGGTGACAAAAACTCGTAATCGCCGTCCATAATTAAGTCGAACAGTTCGTCCTGGTCTCGCTTGGCGCTACGAAACGGTGGGAAACCACAAAGCATGATGTAGGTGATGACACCCGCTGCCCACATATCGACCTTGAGCCCGTAACCAGTTTCCTCGAGGATTTCTGGTGCTACATAAGTGGGTGTTCCGCAGACAGTGAAGATTGGTGATTTTACCTCCATTGCTAAGCCGAAGTCTGCCAGTTTAAGAATTGTTTGACCATTAGGTTTCTTGTGAACCTAAAAAGGGGATAAAATACAAGTCAGCAACTCTTTTAAAGAGTCATTTGGCTACATTAAGAGCCTATTATACCGGGAGCAACCATCAGCTTAGACTGTTCACAGTCCCCTATTTTTCCGTAAGATCGTCGAGAACGAGCGCTACAGGCGGCCATCTTGACCGAGACTAGCTTGTCATCTACTTCAATAAGGGGAGGGGGCGGGGCCTCCCTTTCCCCACCGCTATAAATCTTGACGATCGTCCTCTCGGTACATTTGAAAGCGATTCAGAATGGCTGGGAGTGATGGTGAGCGCTCGCTCTCAACGATCTCAGGGGAAAATAAGGAAGAACAATACTACCATCGGCTTCAAAGACATTTTACGAAACTATGACTGAGACGACAACGCGTACGTCAAAAAAGAATAGGTTTAGTAAGCGAGACAACCACTTTTTACGTGCATCACGTTGCTAAATCTCTTTGGCCCCAGAACAACTACGACGCGAAATGACTAACTTTCAAGCTCTTTCGAGGACGTAAACGGCAACACGCATAAATACCGTATCTCTCTGAGCTCGGAAGTGGACGCGAGGTCAATTTTCAGTGACGTTTTAACTGGCGTCACTGTTGTGGGAGCGTAACGTCCCTTAAGCCCGTTGTCACCCCATATATGGGAATCCGGATTTCCGAAAATTTTTGCTTGTGGAAATTTAGAATCTGGAGTCCAGGAAATTTTGATTGTGGAATCCGGTATCGTGGGCTTTGGAATCCGGAATCCCACTAACGATTCGAATCCAGAATCAAGTTCTACTAACAAAGACTGGAATCAAGTGCTTAGAATCCGAAATACGCGGTGTAGAATCGAGAATCCAAGACTGTCTTGGATTCTATTACACGCAGGGTGCAAAGAAAGTCATTTTTAAAGCTTGCCATTCGGCCGGGCAAGCTGAAGCAAGCATATACTAGATAAGTCCAAACCTCATTTCAACTAGCCCCAAAAACATTTTTAATTGATGAGCAGAATTTATTTCACAGTTCTTCTGTAATCTGAACTCCTCAAGAAACTTCACTTGCCCACAGTAAAGAACAAAATCCACTCGCCCCGGGCTATCGGACACTACTTTCTTTGCACCCTGCTTACACGGGTTGATCGTTGTCTTCGATCTGTTAGGGAACTTAAGCAACGACGACAAAGACGGCAACGAGAACGGCAAAAAAGGAATAGGTCAACAACTTTGCACGTGCATCACGCTTTTTAGTACAATTCTTTGCAGTCGTAGACGTTGCACGACTGCCACGTGAAAGTGCCTAAATCCACGTTTTGTGGAGGACGCGAACACAAGACAACAACTTTCTTTTTCTCTTCCTAAACGTTTGACAAACTCCTTTAGAATTCAACTCCAAAAACAAAACAAAACGAACTAGACGAGATGGAAACGAACTAGACGAGATGGAATAAGCTCGATTGAAGTTTGAGGCAGCGCGAATTCACTTTTTAAGTGACGTTTTCGTGCCCGTAGCCGTCGCCCTCGTTGTTGCTTAAGCTCTCTATTTTTAAGTTTGCTTTCCGCGATTAAGTCAGAGACCGTGAAAAAATAATAGAGGAAGAGGGGGAGGGAGAGGGGAGGCTCTCATCCCTACCCTACCCCTCACTGTTTTTCCTGCTCATATCTCTTTGCGTCCTCCCCATAATCTGAAAGCCTGGAACCGGCTACTCAAAAGTCAATCACTGAATCCGCAAGTTTGAAACGAGCTGCCAATTTCAGAGTGCAGTTGGGGCTTTGCAAAGTAATAGCTGGCAATACATGGCTAAACGGTGCAGGACAAAGGCAGATGGGAAGACATTTGAGTACATAAACGAATTCCCTGTTTGTCTTTTTTTATAAAAGGAATCTTATTTTTAAAAAAGGCGAAAGAAAGATCTCGACGTGGCAGGTGTAATTTTTTGGCGTGGACCAATTTTTATTATTGAGTTAAAATTTTTTTTGCTCATAAGCCTTTTTAGCAAACACAAAGCGAGATAGTGCATTGTCAATTTGTTTACCAATCCAACTGTCCCTTGGTTATATTATTAAAAACTGCCTCTTTGTTTAATTAATAAAATCTAGAATGTAAAGATAAAAGCTTCATAAAATAAAACCATGGTAACATCAAAGATTTTTCTGTTTAGCCCAATTCCATTATAACTGTGGTTGCATTTTCTCCAAACTGAATCCATGTAGACCTTCAACGCCAGTAACATTTTAATAATAAAGGGGTTTTCTAAGAAAGCCGAAGAATATTTTAATGATTGTTCCCCGTTTAAGTAAAACTCTGGTCAAGTTTGTATGAAGGTTCGCTTCGGAACAAGTTCCGGTTAAATAACAAGAGTTAAAAGCCATGGTACAGAATTGTGAGTTATTCATAGGCCGTAGTTAGGAATTATTACTCAGTAATTCGGGCTCCATAAAAGTCCTATCGAGATGGGATTGGGAAGGTTTTCCCTGGAGTTCCCTGCTAGCAGAGGCTTTTTTTCCCTGGTATTTGGTGGGCGAAATACTAGGGAAAAGAGGCCTCTTCTAGCGGGGAATCCCTGGGGTATTTAATTTATTAGTTACCAAGATACAAGATTATAATGACCATGTACGAGACTAATTGACTTACCAGTAGATTTTCCGGTTTAAGATCTCTGTGAACAATTTTTCTCTTGTGTAAATAGTCCAACGACTTTGCAATGTCCTTGACGTAGTTTCGAGTGACAGCTTCGGTAAACTTCACCGAGGAAGAAATTGCATCGAAAAGATCACCCCCTTGGATTAACTCCATCACTAGATAGATGTGTCGTGTGGTATCATAATCTTCGTACATTCGTACAATATTCGGATGTTTACATCTTCGCATGATATCTATTTCGTCCCTGATCATTTGTTCTTTCCCTTGAATTTTGCTCTTATCGACAATTTTCAACGCAAATTCCTTTTTGGTTATTCTGTCAGTACATTCACGGACATCGGCAAAGTTTCCGTCGCCAATTTTCTTTCCAATAAGGTACACATCTTCGACAGTTTTGTCAGTAACCGTTCCGTATTTCACCTCGGCCTCTGAAATAATACCACTGTCATCTCTCGAAGTTTTCTTAGTGTTGACCTTACTAACTACACTATGTTTCTTGCCAACCGATTCCTTTCTGCTCGGCTTGTCAGCACTGGGAAAATTAGTGTTTACATGCGCCGTCTCACTGAGTTCATTATTTGCATTCTTAACCCCGGCAACATCATCGTTTTCCTTGTTGCTAGGTTTAGAAATTACTTCGTTTTCTTTATTTCCTTTCTCTGGTTGAGACACCAAGTTATTGCTGCCAATCTGAGGAAGTTTCACCGCGTTTTGATTTTGTTTTTTGCCCGGACTGCGTGAGGGGACATGTTTAGCCGGCTTATGATTAACATGCGACCTTTTAGCATTCGAATTAGCTGCCAAATGAGGCTTGTTATTACTCTCCTGTTTTGGTTTGTTCTCAACTTTTGCATGAATGTCCGGAAGCTTTGGAAGTTTGCTTTCCTCGTCCGTGTTAATAGTTTTCGCCTGATCGTGCTCTTTGTTCTTCTTCTGTTTACTGTGTAACATTCCTTCGTTGCTCGCTTTCGATTCCTTATGTTTGGAACGTTTCTTTGAGCTCGCACCGTGTTCAAAGTCCTCCAAAATATCCGCAATGTCATCAGGACTAAATTTCTCACTGCCCACGGCAATAAATATGTTATTTTCGTCACGAAACAGTTCCATTACATCAGTTATTAGCTGTCCCGAAACATTGTAGAGTTTTCTCGGTGCGCTCAAACCACTGGTGTTTCCAAAGGAATTAGAAACTTCATCAAGAACTTGCTCAAGTTTTTGAGCTGTTCTTTTGTTTAAGAGCGTTTTTACAGCTGTACGAGGCTTGTGAGGGCCATTTCTGACCACGGTGACAATTTTGGGTTTCACATGATTTGCTCTTCCGTCGCCAAGGATGGATTTTGGGTCTGAATAATCACGTTGTCTCGAGTGTTCTGTTGTTTTAACACCAAGCGGTCGTCGTTTTGTCTCGTTATATGCCATTAAGTGTAAGCTAGGCAGCTCGATCCGCTGTCTGGAGCCCCAGTTGGCGAAAGGAGGCTTTCCACCGTATGAAATCTTCTTTAGACGTGAATGTGATGAGCAAACATAAGCTTTCCCGTCAATTAACTGATCAAGGTTGTCAATTCTGTCGCCGCTCTCAAGGGAAAACAGATACCGAACTCCCAGGGGTAAGTCTTTGACGTGTCTAGAGTATGTTAAACGATGTAACTCGTCTAAAAGGCCTTCCACGTTTCGAAATCTCCTAGGAGTAATAACCATTACATGCCCTTGGAAATTTCTATCACCATTTACGTAGAAAGTAACTGTCTTGGTTGATCGACCGGCTTCGTGATCGTAACCACTGGGAAGCGATGTCTTCGCCGCAGCCGCCATATTATAACCGTCTTGTTTTCTGTTAAAACAGCTTTGGTGAATTATTCCTTTGCGTCTGAAAAGTCTTTAAGGCTTTCCAAGGATTCCTTATCGATGATATTTCCGACAAAGCCGCTCGCAATAGGAAATAACATCGCCAGAGCAGCAATTAGCTACAGCAATTATGTCCGGATGAAACAGTTTAAGCCCGTTGAATTTCGTGAAGGATCCATTTGATTAAAACCCAAATCTTTGGCGATTGTCTCCTTGCTTCTTATTTTTCAATCTTGACTTTTAAAGGAAATAATGGCAGCAACCGACAATAGGAAATTGAAGTTTGCAATTCATTACTGTCGCATCACAAAAGCGGGAATATTCAATGTACTTATTGAATACGTGCGCGTGTATTATTGACGAGAGTTGCTACGGCAACAATTTCGACATACATTACGCAATGACAAATCGAACGTGCATTTGATTTGATTAGAATGTGTATTTTATTGGTTTTGTTTTTTTAATTAGCAAGTCACGCAACAATCATTCGGGTAATTACGGATTAAACGTTCAAGATTGTAAAGCTAATCTTTACAATCTTCGTGCATCACTTGTAATCGAGACAGAAGTTGGAAAAAGGCAGGAATCTAAAGCTCTAACAGTGCCTGATCAAAGACTCAGCCAACGCTGAAGTTTAATCATTGTTGCCAGGTTTCCTCGGCGATAAGTGAAGGATTGTGGATCGAACTTGCCAGAATATAGGTAAACGATTTGCAAGGAAAGGGAATGGCTTTCCTCTCTCTTTCGCCGCCATTTTTTTTCTTTTTACGTTATACATGTGTACGCTGGCGAAAAGAGCCCAAGTACGCAGGAAATCTAGAACTTGAGACAGTTCTAAAAATAAAAATAAAAATAAAAATACGGGCGAAGGTTGCCTGGATACAGTAAAAACCCGCGAGTAAGAACTGAATTTTCCTAAGTTAACCTAACCAGGTTGCGCGTAGATTTTAGAAAACAAGAACCTGTGTCATATTTAAGCTAAACAGGTTTCGCCTAACAGGTTCATAAAAAACAGGTTCTTGTGTTTTTACTGTACAGTGTGTATGGAGGTTCAGGGCCATGGGCTTCTGAAGGCAAGGCTGATCAGGCGGCTTAAGGTTTACAAATTTATTAACCTTAGCCGTACGATCAGCCTTGCCTTCAATTTTAAGTGTTAATTTATATTGCTGATCCTGATCTACGACAAGATCCGGCTTTCCCTCGCCGCTGTTTGTCCAAGTGGTCCTTGCAAGAATTGTTCTACTGCTTAAAAGCCCATCATGATATTAGATCAGTGTGATTTTGAGTTTATAAGTACAGTTGATCATCAAAATTGCACATGGTAAGAGTGCTGGTTTCTAGGCTACAGTTCACCTTTTAGAGAGAGAATTACCGTATTTATTCGATTACCCGCCTGGGCGCTTATTAAATTTTTGGACCTTGAGAGTGGGCGCTTATTCGAGGCTGGGCGCTTTTTAAATTTTCGCCATTTTCAACAAGTGTAGTATGTATATTTTGAAAGAAAACAGTAAATGGTATTAACAAAACGCGAAGATGTAACAAAGCGAGGTTTCTGCAAAACACTCTTAAGAAAACTCCGTCTTCGGGGAAGTCTCAAATTAATACTTATTCCTTTTTTTGGGTGGTAGGGGGAAGGGAGTGGGCGCTTATTTGAGGTTGAGTGGGAGTGGGAGGGAGGTGGGATGGAGTGGGGGTGGGCGCTTATTCGAGGCTGGGCGCCTATTAACTTTTTCGGCCTTTAGGATGGGCGCTTATTCGAGGTGGGCGCCTACTCGAATAAATACGGTAAAGCAAATACAATCGAACCTCTGCTAACGGCCACGTCTCTACAACGGCCACTTTTATTCATCCAGGCGAACAAAAACTCCATACACTGACTCTTGTTTAAAAGCTCTCTACAACGGTCAACTCTTTACAACGGCCACTTTCTTCTGTCCCCGAGGTGGCCGTTGTAGAGAGAATACTAAAGAGAATATTTGCGTAGCTTAGAAGGGTGCTTGACCAAGTTATATATTTGTGAGTTGTCGTTAAGTCACAACGCCGTTTTTGATCAGGATTCACTAAGTTTCCTTCGTTAGGTTGCAATTGATGGATCATTTAGCATGCGTAGCAGGCGCTTGGAAGTAGTGGGCGAAAGAGAGAACGGTTGCGCGCGAGGGAGACACGCGAGGGGTGTCTCCTTCTCGCGCGCGCATTTTTTCTGGTGCCCACTAATATCGTACCCAGATCTCACTGTTTTACTCATTATACGTTTCTGGGAAACTGCCCACCTACCCCTCCCCTAAGCCAACATTTCGCTCTAAGTGAGAAGTAAGTGTTATTGTTGGCTTAGGGAAGGGGTAGGTGGGCAGTTTGAAGAGAGGGAGAAAGCGCGCTCAAAAAAGATGAAAGTATTAAATTAGACAGGTAACGCGTCATATGCTTTACAGTCTCATGAGGAATGGATGGGGGAGGTGTGTGGGGCTAAAACCCTGCATGATCCCACATTATTCGTTTCCACACAAAAGAGCCCAAAGGACCACAACATTCCATAGCAAGTCAAACCAACACGCTTGATCGCTAGGTCTTTACGAGAACTCATCAGCAACTCGGCTGTGGATCGACGGCATATGTTAGCATCAGGGACTTTGGTCAACCTAGATTCGGGTAAGATTCTTGGATTGGTAAAGTAAGCAGAAGGCTGATAACTTCAATCAGTTTTGTATGATGGTGAAATAACGCGTTGTTGGTTGATGCGGGGGATATGCTGCTAGATACCATCTGTTTTATTTCTTCTCTAATCGCCTGCAGTACGCGAGCCAGTCTTGGCGAGCAATGAAACGCCATCCAGCGGTCTCCATCGACAGCCAGAGTGACTCGAGGCTCGTGGGGTGACGGAGCGGGGCCTAAAACCAAGAATATAAACGAACCATGTATCTAGGCTAGATTTTCTTAAGCCTGCACGGCAGGCGTTTGAAAGGGAAGGGAAAGGGGATTCCAGCCACGCAGGCTAGATTTTCTTAGAAAAAATAACGCCCAGATAACAAAAAGAGCTAATTCTCGAGCGTTATAAGTAATTCTTTCGCATACATATTAAGGTAAATAAAAGAAAATATATGAATTTACATCTACTTAAACAGCGGCACAAAGATTTTACACGTGAAAGATCGTCGAGGTTACTTACGATATTTCACAAGTTTAATACTGAGATAAAGTTGAAATCTCCCAATCTTTATTCTTCTACTTATTTTTCTGTGTTTGTAGTTCTGATCAAACAGGACGAACGTAACAGATACCAACGAAGATACAGAACGACATCCCACTAGCCCGTGTACAGACCCCCCTCCCCTCAGGAAAAATCTCCTAAGTCGCCGCAACCCAAACTTCTGAACTATTCAATCTTGTTTTTTCGCGTCAAACTGGGTTTTTGTGTGCGAGCATCCGTTTAATGATGAAAAGATGTTCACAACCGAGCCCACTGTACCAAGCGCACGGATATTAAGCCTGGGTTCGAAGGTGTATCCTTGCAACATGCTGAGCATGCTCAACAAAGATCTTAGTCGATTCATGCAGAGTCTTTCTCGAATACGCCAAAATCGAGTAAGCGAAAGAAAGGCGGTTCTGCTGACAGGGTCACAGAACGTGTGCGAGTCAGAAGACAACAAAGAATATATTATATCAGTAAAAAGGAGCCTGGTCCAGGCTTTTAGCCAGACACTGAAAACTGGCCGTCCAGGAGGCATGTTTTGTCATAAAATTATAAGAGATTAAGTGAATTTTCCTTTTATGTACTCCAAAAATGGGCGTCCATAGGACGGCTGGACACCCTTCTGGCTAAAACCTTGGCCTGGTCTATGGTGGAAAACCGCAGGCCAATAATACTATAGGCATGACATGTAGCTCCGTAATGTGATACATACCATGACGTATTTCATGGCGTATCTGCTTTACATCTTTTCCCGACAAGAGAATCAAAGCCACCGGGTGAACCATGCTACTGTCCCGGATGAAGATCTGTGTTGACTTAACCTAAGGAGAGAAATAGAAATTAATGGTTAAACACTGAAAACATTCTAATATGCCTTTGGGGGCGAGAGGA